AATCTATTGTTTAATGCTATATTTTTGTAATATTTCTTTCTTGCTTGTAGGCTTTATACCCGAATAATAAAACAAACTAATATTACCATAACATGAATCAAAGAAAATTGTGTTTTTCTAAATTCATCTTCCTTGGATACGAGGTGGTATGGGTCACAAGTTGTTTTCTCCGACAATGGTTTTATGAAGTTTTGAATTCTTTACTCCATCTTCAATAGAGATATGCTATTAGTGTTTGAACAGCTTAAGTTGAATATACCAATGGATGAGGAATGTAAATGCCTAACCTTGGATAAGTATTTTTAATGATAAGGATGATTTGTTCTAATACTATTTTCCTAACATCAGATCAGAATCTCCACAAACAAACCAGCTTTGCTCCATTAGCCGATGCAATTCAGACTCTCTTTTAAATGAGGTATGGCTTATGTGACTCTGATCATTCTGCATATTTGGCTTATTTGCTCCATATGTGTGAGAGTGTTTATGTAACCATTCTTTTGGTTATTAAACATTTGTTATTACAAATCCATCATTTCTTAATTAGGCCTTTAGGAGTTCTTTTTGCCTGGATTGAGTGCCTAGGCCATGCTATCCATCTACTTGTGTGCTAAAGTAATTGTTCATCTTTTCCTAGATGTGATAACTTGGATACTCCCTTTAATGGATGACATCTCTTTACCTTGTAGATTGCTAAAGCGGCCCTAGTACCAGACACAAGTTATATTGCCAAGCCAGCTGCCTCATGGCTTGATGATTTTCTAGTCTGGGTATCTCCAGAAGCATTTGGGTGCTGCAGGAAGTTTACAAATGGGAGTTATTGCCCTCCTGATGATCAGGTCAGGTGCATATGATAGTAAACTATTAATGTGTAAAATCTTATTCTGTTATAATACATATTTCCTTTTACTTTTTGATAGAATTACTATGAAAATGTTCACGATGAATTAATAGATAACTTGCCTTGATAAGAGGGAATGTACTCAATAGTGCATGAAGATTAATGATCATAGCTTGGAGTTTACCAATTTACTTAATGTGTTAGAGTTGTATAATCTAAGATTTTCAGTTTTGTTACTTTATTAGTTGTATAATCTAAGAATATTTTTAAATGAAAAATTGATATTTTCAAAGAAATGGTGCTAGGTTTAAAATTCTGTACAAAAGATTGAGAGAAAAGATGTAGATGGTGGATAACATTTTTCTAAAGCAGTCAAAGAATACAATAACTTAATTTTAGCTGAAAGATTTTTTGTTTTCTTTCTAGCCTCCTTGCTGTGCTCCTGGGGACAGCTCCTGTGTTTCAGTAGGAACATGTAAAGATTGCACAACGGTAATTGAACAAGTTTTTTCAACCTCTTTATTTTATTTATTGTTTGAATACTTTATTTTTTCTTTTGAGACCTTACTCCAGCACTTTATAAACTGTGCAGTGTTTCCGTCACTCAGATCTCCAGAATGATCGTCCATCTACAACTCAATTTAGGGAGAAACTGCCATGGTTCCTTAGTTCTCTGCCATCTGCTGATTGTGCAAAAGGGGGTCACGGGGCATACACCAGCAGTGTTGAACTGAAAGGTTCATTGATTTAAATAAACTTTATTCACTTTATGTCTAGTTCAAATTCTGTTCTGTAAGTCCTGAAGTCTGAATCAGTTTAACGTGTAATATGGCATGAATTATTTGATTGTGTTTTGGTTCTCAGGCTACAACAATAGCATTATTCCCGCCTCATCATTTCGTACATATCATACCCCACTTAACAAGCAGGTTGTATTTCTATGTTACTTCTTCTATAATTAGTTATTCTTATTTGTATCAAAGACTCCATGTTTAACTGTAAATATGTTTTAGATTGACTACGTTAATTCTATGAGGGCTGCTCGAGAGTTCAGTGCAAGAGTTTCTGATTCTTTAAAGGTAATGTAATCAGTTCACCCTCTGAATAAAATATTTTTGGCCATTTGCATAATGTAGAAATAGAAGGTATTCAATTAGATTGAACTTATGTTTCAAGTGGCAGATTTAGATCTTAACCTCATTTTCTATATCCAACCTAACATTCCTTTTCTGATGCAGATTGAGATCTTTCCATATTCAGTGTTTTATATGTTTTTTGAGCAATACCTTCATATATGGAAGACTGCACTGATCAACCTTGCTATAGCTATTGGTTAGTGTTGAGACTTGAGTGGTTTTCTGAAAGTGGTTTGATGAGAATTCTATGCAAATATATTATTGTGCATTGTCGTTGTTGTACGTTGTTACTTTCACGGAAATTTTTTTGTGTTGAGGGTATATCTTATGCAACTTTTTTAGAAGAATTAGATTATATAATCATGTATTTAATGAATACAGAGTGTAATTTATTTATTATGTATGTTGGTATTTAGCCTCTAAAACATTATCTTAATCATTCAGTGATGTAACAGGTGCAGTTTTTATCGTGTGCTTGGTTATCACGGGCAGGTGAGCATGAATTTATTTTAGCAAATGGTTTAAGATGTTTTTTACTTCTAACTCCTGAATTAGATAGAGGTACCAACAAGTTATTATTTGATGAATTAATCAAATATTGGTCTGATCCTCTTTTGCATTAAACTTTCATGCAGTTTATGGAGTTCATCAATAATTTTGTTGGTCTTGGCAATGGTTGTTGTTGATCTTATGGTATTTTACCTTTGTTTTAACTGTTATTTTATTTTTCACTTTCTTGCTAATTGACTAGTGACAGTTATTTTTTCATTCCGACATTTATGTTGGTGCTTGATATCTAGAATTTGAATCACCTAAGTTATTTTTTTAATTACAAGATTTTTCTTTGTAGGGAGTGATGACCATTCTGAATATCCAGTTGAATGCTCTCTCGGTGGTCAACCTTGTTATGTCAGTGGGCATTGCTGTTGAGTTTTGTGTGCATATGACTCATTCTTTCAGTGTTAGTATTACTCAGCTTTTACACAGCACGCATGATGCACCTCTACCTAAGTCATCATCTAAAAGTTTAAATCTAACATTTCTTCCCTTGATTTCAGTAGATTCAGTGAGATATAATTTTGTAACTCAACATCATTCCCTGTTTTCCATATATTTCTGCCTCATGCTGTTGAGTCTTCCCTTAAAACTTGATCTCATAATTGTGGGCGGTAGATGGATAAAAATGCTTATATGACTACTGTAATTTTCTAAGTAATAATAGGATTAGTTAAAAGCTTTGAATTCTGTAATAGTGAGCTATATATTATCATGTTTTCTATGAACTAGTTTTTATCAATTCCACATGACCAAATCATGTCCTTACAGGTAGCAAGTGGAGACAGAGATCAACGTGCTAAGGAAGCTTTGAGTACAATGGGCGCTTCAGTGTTCAGGTGATTTTTTGCTAGGTTTTTTTTTTAATCTTCAGTTGCTTGAATTGCACACATGCATGCGTACAATGAAGAAGTCATTCTTCCCTCTCTGTCCTTATAGTGAAGGAAATAAATCAAATAGTCAACATATTCTTTAGTTTAGACTTATGAATGTCAGTGGTCCTTTTTACAAAATCATGCATAGTTTATTCCTTCTAGTTTGCTTCTCAATGTATTTGCGAACACCTATTTCACTGCGATTGTGCTGCATCAGCACTTGCATCCCATGTTTTTGTCTTAAAATCGTGTGCTGTATTTTTTTTTTCGGCATAAGATTTTCTTCTTCATGCGATTGCAGTGGCATCACATTAACAAAGCTGGTTGGAGTTATTGTTCTTTGCTTCTCAAGAACAGAAGTATTTGTGGTATTATGAATTTAAGGCCTTACTGTTATATTTTCTACTACTTTTTGTGCATGTTATATTTGCTATAACTAACCTTTTCATTTTGCAGATTTATTACTTTCGGATGTACTTGTCGTTAGTGCTTCTTGGTTTCTTGCACGGACTTGTCTTTTTACCGGTCAGTGATGTATTCTTGATTCGTCCTTTTCAATTATTGTCTTCTCAATTTATGGTGTTTAGAGCTTTCAATTTAGCTTAGCTCAAAGGATTTGGTTCTAACCACATGTGTTGAAACGGTAGGAATAAACTTAAATTTAGGAGTCATCAAATAATTATTAAGAGTAAGGAAATTACTTTGTTATGTTTTACAATTATTATAGTGTCTTATTTGAAATAATTGGAAACATTATGGTTAGTAGATGAAAGGCCTATTGTTAGTCCTATAAATTAAAAGGCTCATGAGAAATGAAAATACATTAGAAGCATATTCAGAAATACATAAGTGAGTGTCATTTTCTAATAAATTGGCATCAGAGTTGAGAGAATACATTATGTTTTTATGCCTTTCTTCTCCTTCTGGTGCAGGTGGTATTAAGCATCTTTGGTCCACCTTCAAGATGTTCTATCACTGAGCAAGGGGAAAATCGTTCATCAACATCTTCACGGCAGTAAACTTACAGGCATTCAACGATGGGTTGCCCGCTAGCAATGCAGAAGCATCTGTAAAGTACAGAATTTTATAGGCCAAACAGAAGATAGGAAATACAGCAATTTTGACATATCCCCCTAACTTGTTTATCATTATTACTCTTTGTACCTATATAATAATATCCTGTATGTAATGTAATGTGAAAGTTTGTGAAAAAACAAATTAAAATGTTAATTTAATATATAGGTCTTAGTTTTATTTACTTTTCAGTTGACTGTCTATACATGTATCTTTTTGTTAGAAGTGTTTTTAGTTTAATTTTTTTAAATTAAATCCTTGCAGTTCTAAGTTTTTAACATTAAAACAAACTTCTGATTAAGAGATCACTTGACTTCAAAAAATATATGAACAAATCTGAGTGACATTTATCATTATATATATTAAGTGCTTTTTCTCTCACTTCTTATTTGGCATGTCTATTATATTAAGGATTCATTAGAAATCTCATCATTCAAAATTAATTTCTTATTTTTATTACAATAATTCAACTTGAAGTCCGATTGAAATTACTAAGACATTTTATTCAAAGAAGAAAATTAATTTCAACGTCAGTTTTTAAAGTGAAAATTACTCTGAATTAGACTATTCGAAAGAAAAAAAAAAGTTAGGAAGGTCATTTATTAGATTATCTATTATGTTGTTTAATAGTGTGTGTTAGGCTAGACTCTCTAGTGATGTGTTGACAGTTAAATGGTGTAATATTTTATGAGTTTGTCTTACACTTCAAGTTTATATAAACAGTTAAACAGTGTTTTTTTATTCTCTTTTAAATGGCGGTATCTATGGAGAGAAGAAAGAAAATAAAAAAATTATGAAATATGATTACCAAGTTTGATATTAAGAATTTATTTGGAAACAGCAAGATCGTGCTGAGTTAACAAAGGATGAGGCAAACATGATATTTCATTTATCGTAGAAGGAGGTGATTGATATCATAACAAAGTCGGAAGCACCATGGGAAAGTCACAAAGATAATACTATTGGAAAAATATGAATAAAACTCAAGTTACAAATATTTGGTGCATTAAGTTTGGCTGAAGTAATAGTTATACTCATCCAATATTATGATTTTACAACTGAATTTCTCACGGTAAAAATCACATAAATTAAGTATATTACTTTTTCACTCATACATACTTTCATAAACAGATATTATATGTTTTTTTTTCATTATTTTTATCTTGTTCCAAATGGGCCTCTGACGCAAGAAAATATGAGTAGACTTAATCGCTAATACATTAATAAAAAAAAGAAAACAATTTTTAGATAAGACAACAGTTGTACGTAGTCACCAACTACGAATTTGTAGGTGATGTATGCATTCATAAATAAAAAGTGAATAACTATTTAAAGTATAAGTAACATTTGCACCTCACCTTTGATGATGTACTACGATTAGACATATTGAAGAGTTATTATCAATTTACACTTACTTTTAACATGTTATAGTATTAATAGCTTAACTTCTCAGATATAATATACTTAATTCTTAATTTTAAAAAATACATGGTGTAAAAAATATGTCATGTCTGTGTTGGGAATCCAAATATGAATCTAAGTTTCACATTAGATAAAAATGAGAGAATAGAGCACTCTATAAAGGTGAAAGACCCATTAACTCATTGTCTTAATTTTTGGGCAGAGAACGGTGTCAATTTTTTATATGGTTGGATTCAAATATCATTGGTGTTTATGTCTCCCTAGTGAACCTCCTCTTTGTTAGACCTAACAATGGTATCAGAGCCAGATTTGTCTTGGTGACCGATTGAAACTGAGTACAATGTTTCTTATATCTTTAGGTAAGTGTGAATCGTGGTTAAAAATGACTACTCGTAGTTGTGATTGGTTGAAAATACTTTCCTTGGAGAGTAATTTACCAACATGGAAGGAACTCACTTTTAAAAAAAGATTAGTTTGAACCCTCAAAACCGATCTAATACAATCCATTCATGAATACCTCGAATGGAAATGCAGAGTGATCGACATAAATTAGAATAAATTCACATAAAAAGTGTTCCATTTAATATCTTATATTTGGAACCATGAATAGTAACCCTGGAACCCTGGTTGGTATTTCTCAACATCTTATCTTATGCATGTGTCGTTGTTGCAACTTTATTAAACTAAAATTTGTAAGTGCATCATGGATATGCATAATGGAAAATAGACAATCTTAGTGGAATAGTGATGAGGCAATAATGGAAACGACAACTACAGTACGTGATTGCTGCGTTGGATTCAACGTTCGACGAATCTCTCTGAGGTTTTGGTTAAATAAACGATGATTCAGCCAACTAAAATATCAAAATATTATTTTCCTTCGAATTATTTCCTCACCAAAACTGAACAAGTACGATAGGCTTTAACAAGTTCTGCGATAACATCATTCAGAATTTTCTATTATGTAATCGAAAATTCAACATAGTTTGAGTGTGTTTTTGCTATCACTCTTCTTTCCAATGGAATCAAACATAAAAGTACAAAAAAAACATTAAATTAGTGTTCCGTGTTCTTTTTTTTCGTTAGAAGTTCCATATCAACATAAGAC